CAGACAGGGACGTACGTGAGCCCAGGGCCACCACCTTGTCGTGCTCCCCGGGACACCCGGATCTAACGAAACTCCCCGGCGCCAGCGGTCTGCACCCGGTGTCCCATCCCTTACACGCGCTCGCGTCCTCGGCCCCTGTGCGTCCGGGACCTGACTCCAGGCGCCCGGCGATCCGCACCCGCAGGGAGCCACCCTCGGGGGGCGTCCTCGGTCCCCGAGCCCACCTCTGTCCCCCGACAGTCTGCAGGTCTAACTCCCCGCAGCCCAAGGTCTCCCACCGCGGATCTGCTTCCCGATGCTTGCCATCCCGTCTGCGCCCCTGCGCCCACATCCTGTTGGCCTGGTCCCCCACCACCCTCACCTCCTGAAGGCCGCGCTCGCACGGGCTGGCGAAGGTGGCGAAGGACGGCAGGATAGGCTCGCTGAGCGCCATGGCAAAAATTGTGTGTGCCGCGGGCCGGCCCGCCCAGGCCTTATAGGCGCGGCCGGCACGGGGGAGGCGGGCCGGGAGGCGGCGGCGGAAACGCGTCCCGGATGGGGACGAGCTCCGGACTCAGCCTAAATTTAGCCGCGGTATAAAAGCCTGGCGGCGGCGGCAGCAACCACCACTGCGGGAGCCCGGGCCGTGCGCCCTAGGCCCCGCCCCCTTTGGCCGGGGTCCGCCCCCGTCCGTCCCCATGACGACGGCGTCAACACGCCCGGCACAACAGCAAGACTAGAATGCGGGGGTGGCACCTGGGACTCCGCGGGGAGCACGGGGTGAGAAGGCTTCCCCGGTGTCTCCCCAGCCTCAGGCCCCGGGAAACCGGGACCGATGCGTAGGGAGTCTGGGGTCACTGTGTTCACCAGAGGGATGCTCTGTGAAATCCTTGCGTGTAAGCTAACTCTGGAAGCTGAGGCAGGAGAATGAAGAGTTTGGGGTCTGTCTGGGCTACAGGGGGAGTTGAAGGCCAGCCAGGGCTACATAGACCCTCTGTGTCTTTCCTTCAAAGACAGACAGACAGACACACACACATACACACACAAAGAAAAGCATGGCATGGTGGTATTCCCCTATCCTCCCAACACTTTGGAGGTTGCAAGCATTAGGTTCAAGCCAGCCCGGTCTACAAGAGACCCTGTCTCAAATAAATAAAAACTGGGGCAGGCAAGATAACTCGGTGTTTACTCCAAGCCTGTCCTCAGGAGCAGAGTCCCCATATGTCACCTCTGCCCTCCACAGTGCACTATGGCACACATGCCTACACACAGACACACATGCACACACATACACACAAACGTAGAAAAAAGTTGCAATGTAGTAATTACAAGTTATAATAAATAGCTGGGCCGTTTCAGGGCACAACTTTTTTGTTTTGTTTTGTTTTTCAAGACAGGGTTTCTCTGTGGCTTTGGAGGCTGTTCTGGAACTCACTCTTGTAGACCAGGCTGGTTTCGAAGTCACAGAGATCGACCTGCCTCAGCCTTCCGAGTACTGGGATTAAAAGGCGTGAGCCACCAATGCCGGGCTATCAGCATACAACTTTAATCCTGGCACTTGGGAAGGAAGAGGCAGATGGATCTGAGTTCGAGGCCAGTCTGGCCTACAAAGAGAGTTCCAGGATAGCCAGGGCCACACAAAGAAACCTTGTGTCGAAAAACAAAAAGTTACAATAAATAAATAAATAAATAAATAAATACAAAGTATTGGGTCTCTGGGACCTTTTCACCTCCTAGTACACTTACAGGTTTTATTTAAGTGCTGGGAAACTGAGGTCAGGGTGCTGGGAACTGTCTTCTGGCTGACTCGAAGGGCAAAGGGTACTTTCAGCGGGGGATGGGCATGTCAAATAAACACACATAATGCCCACAGGGCCCAAAAAGAAAAAAGGAAATAGTGGAAGAGGAGGAAGTGTGTGGTGCGGCCTAGGGGAGGGAAGATGGTGCAATTTTGACCTTCACCCAGGAGCGATTGTTGAGGCAAGACCTAGACAAAGCAAGGAACCATCTGGGTGGCAGAGGGAGAGAATTATTTAAAGTCATATCTGAAGCCAGGTGGTGAGGGATGCAGTCAGCCTGGGCACCAAGGACCACAAGGGTAGCCCTTTGCAGCAGGGTTAGGTGGCTGCAGGTTCCAAACTGATCCAGCTTCTGCCCCTTGCCCACGACCGTGCAACTCTGAGTAGAGGCTTTGCCTCTGGGGTTCTCCTAACACCTGTGAAATATGGATACCAGTAGCGTCTACAGCCAGCCGGCACAGTCCTGCTACACTCTGACTGCCCATGGAGAATGTGAAATTCCTACTGCTGGGCAGTGTGGGCAGCTGTTATGCTGTATTGATTGAGGAACATCTAACAAATCATCTGGGACTGAGGGCCCACCTCAGCCCTCACCACAGATGGGGAGAACACCATGTGTTTCTCTCGTGGAGCAAATATTCCGGATCTGAACAACCTGGGGGGGGGCATGACTCAGTTTCTCTAAACAAAAGATGAGATTTGGGTCATTTCACCAAGGTTTAGGATTCTGGGGGAATTGCTGAGTAAGGAATTTTGTTTGTTTTTATTTGGGGTGTGTGTGTGTGTGTGTGTGTGTGTGTGTGTGTGTGGCGCGGGCCCAGGATGGCAACCTCTCTGCATCTGCCTCCAGGCTCCACCACCTGCCCTGCTGGATCTGTAGGGCCTGAGTCTGTTCTGAACACGCAGACTTACTTTCCTTGTCATCCCAGAGTGATATGACATCCAAAGCTGTCCTGTGTTGGGTACTACTCACCCAGTGGCATTTTATAATCCATGGGAGTCCTGGAGAACTGGCTCAATACATACCCACAAGGGGCCTATAACCTCTCCAGGCATTCTCAGCCCGGTACTAAGGGGTTTGAGTATCCGGGGACCCTGATATTCAGGGGCACTGGAATGGATTCCGTTGGGGAACCACAGAATGGTTGTATACTGAATAACACAAGCCCCAGTGAGGATGCTTGCCTGTCATCCCAGCACTGGGGGAGGCTGCAGCAAGAGGATCAGTAGTTCAAAGCCGTGGTTGGAGAAATGACTCAAAACAGTAATGAACTTAAAACCACGCCTGACAGCCTGAGTTCAATCCTTGGGACCCACACAGCGGAGGGAGACCTGTCTCCTAAAGTCCTCCAACCTCCACACACAAGCACACATAGATGAATAAACACACACACACAAATATTGACGAGCTCCCAGAGTCTAGGATCAGGGCTATCCCTCTCCTGCAGTGTCTAGGAATTTCTCCTTTCCAGCGGTGCTTGTTGTCCTCATTTGCACACTCCTGATGGCCCCGGGGGAGCTTTTGAAATGCATATTCTTTTTCTGCTTATCTTCTGTCTGTGCAGCTTTGTCCTGACAAGCAGGTCTTCTGTGCACCGGATTCCAGTTAGGTCTTTTGAGCAGTTTCCAATGGGTTGTTTTGTTTGCCTCTGGTCGCCTTTCACGTCCTTTGTGAGTGTCTATGGCTGTCCTTGATCTATCTTTGGAAAGATTTCTTTCCTAGTAGGTGGCCTTGGAATTCTCGTAAGGGCACTCTTTGCAGAGTGTGCTTTGAATGGAATGTCTTTTAATCTTGTTCATATTTATTTATTTAATGTGCGTACAACTTTGTGAAGTCACGTCTCTCCTTCCACTTCCTGGGTTCTGGGATTGAACTTGAGGCTGCAGGCTTGGTAGCAAGAGCCTCAACCCCTGTGACCCATCTCACTGGCCCTCGGATTTTTTTTTTTTTTTAAGATGGGGTCTTATGAGGCCCAGGCTGGCCTTGGACTTGCTTTGTTGACCAGGATCTTGAATTCTTGATTCTCCTGCCTTAGCCTTCCAGTCCTGGAATGACAGAAGAACACCACCATGGGCCAGGCTTCATTTTAAACTTTGGCATAGTCCCACTTTTTTTTAATTTTTTCCTTTACTTAGTTTAGCCTCTGGTGTTGAGCCCTGTCAGTCCAGGATCCCCTCAGCTGTCAGCAACCTGATGGATTTCCAACTTTTTACTCTGGCTTTTGGGCTAGGCTGGGCTAGAACACTGGGTCTCTGATCCTTCCCCTGAGCCAGGCCTCAGCCTAGAAGTTTAAACCTTTGAGTCTGCGTACAGGTGAAGAATGCTTTTTTGTAGTTGCTGTTTTGCGGGTTAGCCCCTCCCCTCCTCTGTGGAAGCCGATGCTCTTGGCCCAGTCCGCTGTCAGTTTCCAGCCCATGTGGGTTTCAAGGTGACTTCTGACCTCGCTGTGCAGCTGCCACCCTTTTCTGAACTTTTCTTTTAGTCTTTTTGTGTTTTTAATTATTCACTGTTAGACACGTGCGCACTCGCACATGCACACACACAGCCTGTGTATGCATACTGTGAGGGCACATCACATGCCTTAGCACATATGTGGAGATCAGAGGACAACTTGTGGGAGGTGGTCTCGCCTTCAACCATGTGGCTGTCAGGGATAAAGCTCATGTTGGCAGTAAATGCTTTTACCCAATGAGCCATCTTACCTGCTCTTATTATTTTTTTATTTTTGATGTTTGCTTGAGACAGGGTCTCAATGTGTAGCCCTGGCTGGGCTGGAACTCACAGAGATCCTTCTGTTTCTGCTTCTCATTTGCCTAAACAAACAAACAAAAAATTGAAGCCAGGTGTGATGGCACATGCGTTTAATCCCAGCACCCAGCACTTGGGAAGCAGAGGCAGGCAGCTGAGGCCAGCCTGGTCTACAGAGCCCAACATGGCCTGGGCTACACAGGGAGACCTAGTCTCAAAAAGCAAACAAAAAATTATTTACTTTATGTGTATGCATGTTTCGCCTGCATGTATGTCTGTGTACCATGTGTGTATAGTGTCCTTAGAAGAGGGCATTGGACCCCCTGGGACTGGAGTTACAGACAAGAGTGAGCTGCCATGTGGGTGCTGTGAACTGGACTCAGGTCCTCTAGAAGAAGAGCAGCCAGTGCTGCTAGGGGCTGGGACATCTCTTAAACCCCCAGTGTGTCTCCTCTTGAATCTCTAGATGAGGAGATGCTCTGGCTTGAAGTCAGATCAACAACCCTAACTCTTAGACAAGCCGTAGAGCTGCACCAGAATTGTTTCTCGGGGAAAGTCCCAAAAACACCCATACTGATGCTCAAGGTGTCCCAGGAGCCTCAACACACATCTTGAATCCCAGCCCTTCAGAAGCTGAGGCAGGGGGATGGCTGTGAGTTCAAGGCAAATCTAGGCAACAGAGTGAGAGAACTGGTCTCCACAAAAAGTAAATCAGGACTGGTAAGATGGTTTATTGGTGAAGGCTGAGCACCTGCATTCCATCCCTAGACCCCTCATGGTGAAGAGAGAGGAATGACACCTGTAAATTGTCCTATGAGGTCCCTTCCCTGAATGCACCATCACACACACACACACACACACACACACACACACACACACACCACACACACACACACACACGCATGCACACATGTCTGCATACAAGGACACAAAATAAATATAGTCTTTTAAATAGCAGCAGTTCAGGTTTCTGCCATGTACACCTGTGAGCCCAGCACTGGAAAGCTGGGAGCGGGGGACCGGGAGTTCAAGGTCAACCTTGGCTACATAAAGAGGTCCAGGACAGCCTGGGATACATGTGACCCCGTCTCAAAATAATGGAAAAA